TAAAAACGGTATTATTTGGATGCACAAAAAGTATTCGTACAGTTGAGAAATTTAACACATGAAGCTCGTTTGTTTAAGATGGTTCTTTAATAAAGAGCTGAAAATTTGTGATGCTTCTCCAGAGTCCAAAATTACAAGTTAACAAATTACAAGAGTCCAAAATTATAGAATCAAAAATTACAAATATCTACAAAATTTGGATAAAATATTAAAACTACGTATATACCTTAATTATTTATGAGTTATAATAATTGGATAAATACAATTATCATAAAAACAAGTAAAATATATTTATAATAAAATATAAAATTTTGGGACTACTTTCTTATAAAATTAAGTTTAATTAGATCTAACAAGAAAAATAAGATAAAAATAAGATAAAAATTAAGAGATTTGCTAAAAAATAAAGACATATCAATTAACAATCAGACATAAGAAAGTAATAGTGCTTTTATAGAATAATGATATAAAATAAATTCTTAAAACATAAAAATAATAATTATAAATTAATTATAATTTATTTACAACATAACTCTAACGTAATGAGATATTAAACATTAATATGAGTAGAAATAAATTAAAAATGTGAGAAACGGTTTAACATCTCACATTATTATTTATATAGTTATTTATATAAGCAAGATTTTTAGATAAAAAGCTAGCCCACTTAATAGGAAGCGTTCTCTTATAGTTGAGTAAAATGAGGAATAAAATGAATGTCGGTAATAAAAAAAAGACCTGTATTATCAATGATTTTTTAGAAAAACAAATTTTGCGGCTCAATGCCGCGGCGCGTCCAAGGATTAATGAAATAGTATGTTATTTAGTATGGAACATACGATAATGGAAATATACAAGGTGAAACATTGCGTATAATAGTGATAGCAATATTGGAAATAACCAATCAAATGTTTCCCAATATGCAATTTCCTGTATATAATAGCGTTAGTATACTGGAACAGCTAATCAAATTTTAAAATTCATGCTGCTACTGCGCAACCACGGGAATGACTCACCTTGTATATTTCTATCATACGATAGTATATCAAGAGCGAAATCTCATCGAATAAAAAATCAAGTTTATACAGTTTATGTAAATAATTCTTTCCAGAATGGCCGTTCATACCTATTACTATTTTTGTAACCATTAAAATCGTAACCATTAATTTTTTAAACTATATTATAATCATTTTTGAAAAAAGTCTATGATGATTTATGTGTAGTTAGTCAAAGAAGCCAAGTCTTATCTGTCATTAAGTTATACGTGAAAAGTTACATTTTCAACATTTTTTTTCTCTTATTTTATTATTAACCTACTGTAGAATTTTGCACATGTCAATTTCGGTACTTCAACTTCATTATATAAAAAAATTAGACATTTCTATGGTAACTGATGTTTAAAGCTTATTCTACAATGTGTTCTTTCCTGCTTTTTACTTTTTGCTTTTTTCTCCTTTACAACCATTTTATCGATAATTGTATTTCTTGCTACATATTTCTTGTTTCTTTCAAAATTGGTTAACTTTTATCTCAGGCGACGTAAAACAAAAAACTGGATAAGATATCAAAAAATAATTAAAAAGCAAGAAACGGGAGCACGTTGAAAAAAGCACGTTGAAGAATAGGCTTAACGCTTTTAACGCACGATGTTTATTTACGCAAGGTACGCTGTTATTCGTTATAGCGAACTACCGGCACCGAATCGAAGCTCGAGCGAGCGGGTCGTGACACTCAGTGTGTCTTTCTGGCGAAAGTTCAGTTGGATCAAAAGAACAGGGACGTTTAGAATTATACGAATAAGATAAAAGTATTGATAGAAAATATATCGTCAACTCGATCAAGAAATGGACGAATTGGCAGACATTATTCGTGTATACGAGGCTGAAAATGAAGAGTTTGAAAATCTGTTCTACTTGTGTTGCACCGAAGTTGACGAGATACGAGACGAGATCAAAGTTGTCAAGGAAAATCAAAAATATTTGCAATCTATACAGAAGGTGACTATATCGTCCTGTGATTCCTCTGAAAAGTCTTACGATAACAAATGTATTTGCTCGACATTGAAAGAAGAAATATGGAAGTTGCGAATGGAAATTATATTGAAGAATAAAAAGATTCAGGCGCTGGAGCAGCAAATACATGGCAGAAATGCCCTTCATAAGATTTGTAAAAAACGATTACAACAACTATCGAGGGCACACAGTTATAAAGTACTTTATTATATTTCAGTTATATGAATATTAAATATAATTATATGAACGTACTTTCATAAATGCATTGTTCTTATAGATTAGCAATCTAAAAATGGAAATTGAACAAATACGGATGGCTATGTTGTGTATAAAGGCGAAAGAATGTGAGGTACGCAAACAGAGAATCATAAATAAGAGATATTAAATATGTCAAATAATGTCGAATAATACCTATTTTGATTTTGTGGCATAATTGACATTAAAGGATTATTAAGCGATCAATATTACTATACAATTATATAGTACATTATTATTGATGTGTACCTTCTTTATGACAATTTAATACACTTCTTAATATAATTTTCAATTAAATGCAATAATTTAGCTATTTTTTGTTATGAATTTAATGCGCGTTTAATCCAGATCATTTCTAAGAGTTGGACAAATTCATTTTTATTCAAACCATTATGTAGCAAAATTAATTGGACGCACTAATGCGCATTTGTGTATATTAAAGCAATTGTAATATGCTAATTTCAATAGAGAGATTTAATCCATATTTATAATTTTATGTGAAATTTTATGTGCAAACGATAGCTTTAACGTGCACAATGAGTGCATTCAATTCGGTAGTAGGTAAATCTTCACTCAATTATGATAAAGTAATAAGAATTGTTTTAAAATGTTTTACGTGTTTTATATTTTAATTAATTAATTAATTAAACACTAATATGTCTTTAATATATTTTGAAAGTAAAAAATTCGTATATATGTATGTACATATATACTATATATAGTAATTCGCATTCAATTATTTAAGCATTAAAAGATCTAGCTTTGTTTATAATCATTATTTCCTATCTCCTATTTGTTGAATTTAAAAAAATTGATGTTGAATAAAAAAGTCAAAGTGACTCAATATATCTCATCCATGGAATATGGAAGCCATCTCGAGGAGTAAGATGAGCTATAAAGAGCTATAATGAGATAATTGTCTA